CGACGCAGCAGAAGCGATGATCAAGGCTTGAAATCCGTGGTCGCACACTGGTCGGTCGCAAATACGTCTTTCGAGTGCCGTACTTTGGGGATTTGTATAGCTTTAACCCTTTGTCGTAGAAAGTTAATACGAGGTTTAGCGTGTAGAATAAATGCCGCCAATGCACCCACGGTGAAAAAATTAACGGGTTAGATATATTGGTTTTTGTTTTATAGCGGTTTGAATGAAATTGTCCGCAGACTGGCTACACCACCCTAGGCCTGGTGAGTTGTCCGTGTAGTCGAATTGTCCATCAGCCCTAAACGGCTATGACAGTCACTGTACCAAAAATTGTACCCCGATTCGGCTGGTGTTAAGTTGACGCATGTTATTTAGTAACGTTTTTATGTGAAATGTTTGACTGTGGTTCGGTACCTGATCCGATAATACGGTACATAATTGACTCATATCACGAGATATTTCAACTGATGTTTCAATTGTCACAGAACCTAAAATATCTATGACAGTCACGGTACCCCGATACAGGTACTGGTAAGTCACCGCCGGTATGTTAGTCGTTGGTCACCGCATATGATTTTTGGGGAATTGTTCTGCGTGTCCATATATTTGAGAATTGCTCTCTTGTCTAATTAAACACCGAGTTTCTGAGCGCCGGTGCACAATGTATCTGAATCAAATAATTCATCCCGATCACAAATATCAATTTCTTATGTTCTGGAATATCTCTTTTTCAAGATGAAATAACTACATAGCAACGGAATATCGACAATATCGGCTTTTTAGAATAGTGGTATCGGCGTTTTTTTGTTTGTATCGGATACGTATTAGCAACAAAGGTGGTATCGGTTCATCTCTAAACCAAGTTGAAAAATGATTCTCCGCCTTGACCTCAATTCCCATACCAAGACTCCACAGCGTTAGAATTAAGTATTTTTCGACCCTAATTTACTTCCGCACATAGGAGTAAGAGGTGCTCGTCACAATGAATGCTTCGTACTTCGCATGTTATTCCCAAAACATTTCCCAATTCCCTTGGTGATTTATGCATTAAAGTCTACTTCATAAAACACTAGTTTGCGACGGAATGTACATGTTACCATCTCAGCACGCTTGTAAATCTGCAGCAAGGTATTATTGTCATATTGTATTTGGTACCTGGAATAAACAACCCCGCACACTACGTGGGCAAGGCAAATAAATAGGAACAAGAATTTCTACTTTCTAGCAGACTATCGATTTTATTCCAAGACTCGATAATGTGTAGTATTTTAGTTGACAAATCAAACTTTGCAATACGACGTATTGGTATTCAACGGTTTATAAGAAGTTATATTTGTAGATTATTTACTTAGACTGAGGTTGAGATTGGAATGACGAACACCTGCAACTTATTAATAATTCATTTGGATACACTCGAAATATATGGAAACGTACAGGGTACTGAATGATTAATGGATTCTTAAATATTTTCGCAAATTAGTATGTAAAAAGCACAAAAGGATAGCTTTGTGTTAATTTATAGTGAGAGAATAATGCGATATGGAGGAATTTCGATTCGACTATATTCTTCGGTTAATTCACGACCTGCAGGCATGTGTTAATTTTACCAGTTTTAGTCATTGTGCGGCCAGTGCTCGCCACCTATGGTGTAGTGAGGGTCTCTGTTACTAGTACTGACTACTAAGTATGTAGCTTATATTTAAATTTAAGTAAATATTATGCGCACTTTAATTTAAACTGGTGATACATTAATAGTGGAGAGTATTATAACTACTACGTCTGTGGTAATGGTCATCGTTATTTTATGTCTCATCGGGAAAATTTAACTCTCTGTGTTTTCGTTTGTCCCGTAACCTCATTATTATTTTTCAAACTCAAATAGCATGGCACAACCACTTTGAGTAAACTTTCATGGCCAAATATAAAAAAAAGAATGGCCAATAATTTCTAATAACGAGTCGTTTTGTGCTTGATTTTCTACGAAGGCAAAACGGAGATGCATAATTATAATTATGTGATCTTCTATCGTGAGATGTTTGGATTTCATGCTCCATTTACCTGGCGACTAAAGAAATACGGAGAATAATTTGATGAAAAAATGATTGCACTGAGTATTTTCCCTCAGTTTTTAATAAGTCGATCGATAGTAATGATCATATCATATTCTCAAATTAACCTTTTACTCTGTTTTTTTTCGAAATTATTAAGCCTTGCACGAGAACGAACTCGCTATCCCAGTGTTCGGGGTTACGTCGTTACATATTTCAAGAAAATCCCCTGAGAAATTTCCGAAAACAGAAATCGGTATATACACATATATATATATATAATACACCCCTGAACAGATTATCAAAACTTACTGGCCTGCAATGGACGAAATCCAACAAGTTAAGAAGTTATAATACCTGAAATCAAAGATAATCACGCCAAATTATTTTAGTATCAATTTCCAATCAATTGAAAAATAATTTCTGTAAAGTCAGTTTAATCATTGGCCATTTAAGAAGGCGAATGTTGTGCATATGATTTCTCAAATTTGCGCTGAATATGTACTTTACGTTAATACTATTGTGTGACTGAAACCCTAAATTTGTATGAAAAAGTGGACTGGATTCGCGTACAAGATAGCATTTGAAACACGACGAAACGATGCAGAATGTTTCTCCCATCACGAAACGCCATTTCTTGAAAAAAAAGAGAAAATCTGACGCTCGAGTCCGACATTGCGTCATTTTGCGCTACTGTAGTCAGGTGTAATATCCGACTGACATCGAACAGTCGAAATTGTACGGCGGGCGGGAAGTGCGGACTCGTTTATTTTTAGAGTAATGTCTGGACTTTCGATCGTCAGTTCATGCATCATATTGAAGTTAAGTTTTAGGCAGAGTTTAATTTAAAAGTGAATGGTTTTTTGTTTTGTCTTAGATAGCTCCGCTTAGTATATAGAAATTTGTGTGATAGGGGAGATACGCTATTCACAAGGAACAAAGTCGAAACTATAAGTAAAGTTTCCAAGTAAGTGCTGGGCATATTCGATTGCTCAATTAGGGCTATGTGTGAGCAAATGGATATTTTCTGATCGGGAAGTAGAAGTTTATTTCATGGGCCAGCTGATGCTTGATACCAGTAGCACATCTCGTAGGTCATCATTATAGCTGTTATAATATTCGTTGTATTCGCATATTTATTGTATAAATTTACCCTACCATAGAGTCTAATATTAGGGATTTATTCAAAAATGTCAGAAACACTGCATGCAATACAGCAATATTCGGGTTGAAAATCGTTGATCGGAGATTATGTTTGGTTTAAATGTGAAGGTAGCGCTTGCCCGAGGGCAGGATAATGTAAACATGACATGCTTATTTTCACAGTATTCATATTTAGCCTGTCCCGCCAAGTAGGCGAAAAAATTAGCGATTTCACCAAATAATTAGTATTATGCGAAAGAACATAGATATACTCTAATATTGGCGTTATGCGAACTCTTTCGTTTCAAAACCGTTATTTTTTGGACAATACAAGCGCCATAGTTTACTATGTTGTCTATATTTACATTTTTAGAATATTTTGATTCGGTTGCCGTCACTCTGTTATAGGTCGTGGATATACACGGTAAAATCGTGTTTCGTCGGCTCCTATTCAAGATTTAACCAGATTATGCGTTAAAAGTTAGTTGCAGTAAGCCGGTATTTTTATGATATATCTATCTATTTTATCATAAGTGATTTTAGAAGTTTCGTATTCTTGCCACTGATATCGTATTCCGAACTATTTGCTCAGCTTTACAATTAGGTTTCGGCAACTATTCCGCTCGTCATTAAAAGATCGAGCCCACTTACAGTTAACCTGCACAAGGCGAGTCTGATCTTGTCCCGCTTGCCTGTCGTAAAACCGTCGACTACATCCGCATTGTGGTCGGACGGTCGAGATGTTATGCAAGCAGTCATATGTAAGATACGTTAATTCAGTATATGGCCTCAATACCGCCAATAGTTAGGCTATAAACTTTTAATGTTTTTCTCTTCTAAAGCAATGTTTGCTCCACTGCAATGGTATTGTAGTATTCATATAAAATATCGTATAGTAAATATTATTTGAATCCTTTATTAACTCTTCATATTTTATTTAATCCGGAAGGAAATTGCATATTTTTATAGCTGTGACTTTTATGGCCCGGGGTAAAACTCCAGCTATAACGATATCAGTTGATACTTCGCACGTCGGGATCCTAATATATTTTAAGAATTATACAGTATTTAAATTAATATTGCGAACACGCATGATTCGATAGTATAAAGCCTGAATTCTGTTTATGCTTTGTGTTAGGTCTGGATATTGTCAAACGTATTATTGTCTTATCATTTGCAAGCTATTGTGAGAATACATTTATTGTATATACTCGGCTGTAGAGGAACGTTTTGCGGAAAATTTATCGCTGTATGCTAAGTTATACTGGCCTCTCTTGCCAAGAAAATATGAAAACTGAAGAGCGCGAAACTTACAATGCAATATTATATTTTTTATCTTAAATTTGCTAAGTGATACTTGGTATTCAAACAAAATTTGGGTGTGCCTCATCATTTCACATGTCGCCTTCGTTTTAATGTTGTTTCAGGCGTCATAATTCCATGTGTTAAGAATTCTGTTTTCGATAAAATGAATGATAACTCTGGGTAAACAGAGTTGCATTTTCGACCCACGCTGAATTAACGAGCCTTATTTAACTCCGACGTAACAAAAAATTATTTTATTTCTCGTCGCTGAGCAAACAAACCAGTTGAAATGTAACTATTCTTGATAGGTTGATCTCGGCTAATATAAATCTATGTATTAAATTTTGAGTTCTCATGCATGTGATTCGATTTACCTACGAGCATCAGAATAATAATATTGTGTTGAGACGTTCCGTTTGGTCACCGTCTTGTTTTGAAGCATTTTAAGATTAATAGGCTCGGATTCGTCTAACACCTATTCTTTGTTACCCTATACTTTATCAAGTATCTCTAGGTTAAACGTCTATATCGTACTTTATGCTTGAGTATTTTATGAAAACAAGCATTAAATCAAAAATAGAAGAAAGCAGGAGTGTCGCGACATACTGAGAAAGAATGAAAATGGCGGGGATGGCTCAAGTTTTATCTCATCGAGATACTACACACGCAGGAGATGCATTACTTCAACTAAATAACCTAAGGAGGGAAGGAATATTATGTGATCTTACAATTATTGTTGAAGGCAGGGAATACAAGGTACTTATTACTATTATATCTTGCGTCTGAAATTGAAGAAATGCATCAAATGTTTGTGTGGATTTGGCATCATCAAACAAACATTTTATTGGAATAAGTCATTTTAATTCCTCATTTTATAGAACTGATAACTACATCCCGACGAAATTTACTTACTCAATTTAATTAATTTGAATTTCAGACCTCTATGTTGTATATCAGTACTGCTGGTATTTACCTTGGGGCTGACATATTCTTATCCGATATTTATATATTTTCAAAATGGTAATCACTTAAAATGACGTTTATCATTTAAGGCTCACAAAGCTGTCATGGCCGCTTCAAGCGATTATTTTTTGAATGCCATCTGCGGTGGAAAGACGACTGCAACCGTTACTCCTGGTGAGCACGGATATATCACTGTGGATCTTGAGCATGTGACTCTACGAGGGTTTGTTCCACTGCTCGAATACGCTTACACCGCAAATCTTCAAGTTAATGCCTCTGATGTTATCGATGTACTATCAGCTGCAAGCTATATGCAGATGTTTAAGGTAATTTATTTGTATAAATTATATTTTTTTTTGCAAGATTTCAATTCTTTGTGGTTGGTATTTTAAATCCTAATCTGTAATACTCCTGTATTTTATATCTACTCTACGCGCTATTATTTGTTTCGTTCAATTTCCTAGGTTGCCAATGCATGTTCCGAGTTTATGAGATCAAATATACTGTGGGCTCAGTCTTTACCACGCTTAGCGAATTTTTCTGGCATACCACCTGGACTGTTGAACGGCACAAAGCGAGGACCAGATCGATCGTTATCTCCAATTATTTCAAACCAGCGTGTTCCAGGATCGCTTCCATCCGATATGTCATCCCTTTTAACAGCTACGGGGAGAGCTAATTTGGGGACTCCGCCTCTGCTAATTCCCATGCACCCGATGTCATATGGACTGGAAAGGCTCGCCGCAACCATGGCTGGTGAGATACAATTTGGTATATATAATAGGCATTATGTTTGGTATATTTATAACACTCTCATCTTCAATTTTCAGGCACTCAAAGTTTGCTTTCGCGATCCCCTGGAATGCCACCACGGGGTTTGACGCCAGCAAATTCCTCGTCGTCGCCTAGCAGAATTTCGACACAATCTCCTCAGTCTGCCTGGCCAGTTGTTTCATCTTCTAACACAACAATTTCGAGTCTGCCGCAACGAAGCATGGCACACACGGTATCTCCAAATGAAAATGGTACGAATCTTATTCATATTTATTACGATGAAGGAAAAAATAGCTTTACCATAATGTTTCTAAATATCATTATAAACGTTCTGTACAGATCAACGATATCCATCACCAAGCCATATGAATGGCAGCAGTGGGAGAAAATCAATGGCAATGAAAGTTGAAGCCAGGAGTGATGACGAAGATTCTCGTTCAAGTTCAACCGGCATAGAAAACAGAGGTATCACACTTGAGTTTTATACTAATTCTAATAGAATTCTAATACTAATAGAATCTATGTTGTTACTTTGTACGCATAATAAAAACGGGTATAAATCCATGAGTTTTTGAAGAGTTTATTTGGATAACGGTTAGTCATATCGCAACTGCTATTGCCATTCGTCGAATTTACATAAGTTTGATTATTTTGCGGAAAATCGTTTGAAGACATGTATTTACGTGCTTCCGTAGCCGCATGCCGAAAATGGCGTCTCCTTTGTCATTAATTTATTTCAATGTGAGAGCGCATCCAGGAGACGATTTTTAACCCTTGCTCTGCGTTCGCAATTATATTAAATGGCTCTCGTGATTTGGCAGTAAGTTTTTAGGGTTAAGATTGTGAGACGTTGTCAAATGCCTGCTTGCCAGTACTTGATGTTGAAGCAGCGCTTTCCCGCACTCTTGGGCAGCGTTTTCAATGGGATGCAAACAAAGGCAATGCCAGAATAACAGCATGCTCAAAGTATCTGGAGTGCCTGTGATTTCATTGCGAATACCATTGCACCTGTCGCATAGTACCACGAATTTTGTTCCACTTGATGCACAGAATGTCGAAACTGGGTAATTCTGCATTACAATATTGAAAATAAGATTGTTATATAAAGCTCAAAGCTGTTTGGTATCGAATATACCCATTCGCATAATCACTGACAATTTCACTTACTTATTTCAAGTTCATTATCATTAATCGACATACAACATTTCGATTGTGCACTATATGATGATAAAAACATTCTCCTATTTTGCCATAATCAATATTCATATTTCGTTGTTTGTATAGTGGTACGCCTTTATTTACTCACTTATGCATTTTACTCCAAAGGTGACGCGAATCTTTGGATAACCCATTATTCCATTGCGAAATATGTTTGAATTGATTTTTCGTTGGTTTTCAACGAAAGAAAACAAGATCGTCGGCACCGCCCATATTTCGCAGCTCGTAGTCGCATTTAAAACGAAAACGTTTTTGAACAAAGTGTTGTTTTTGGGGTATTTCCGTACAACAATTTTAACTTCAATCTTCAAATTTCGAAGTGTAGACGATTTTTTAATTGTATGAAACCGTTAGTAATGCCTGTGGAAAATGTAAATCATGGTATTGACACAGCACACGAACTATAATGTTTTTACCGACTTTTTCGAAATATTTCATATTTCGCTGAATATATTATGAATATAAAAGCTATTAGCACTACTATACCTCTGAAAGACCTAAAATTGTAACTTTGAAATTAACTTTTGATGTGTAAGGATATTTCATTTTTAAATATTTTCTTTTTGTTCTATGCAAAAAACTATGCGTGTGCTATAAATTTACATTCTCATTGAGAAAATGAAACAATCGAAAGGTCGCGATCTGTTACTTATATAATGCGGCAAGGTTTCCCGGCAACCCCATTTTACGTGTATCCGTGTACTTAAGCAGTGGACTGTAAATTATAAAATTTCATCAAACACTTTCATTAAAGCACCTTTATGACATAAACGAACGGTCGTCTTGCTGCCGATAGTCGCATGGTTTCATTTATAGACATTCAAACCGAGCCTACGCACTAATTCAGCACTTCAACAACTCTAAAAGTTGTAGTAGTCGTAAAAAAGTATAGTAAGTATGTGAACAGAATCACGCGTCGGGGATTGATTATAATTTTTCAAATATACTTTTCAAATAATATTGAACTTAAGTCGTAAGTTATTTACAGATCTTCGTGGCTAACAATTCGACAAAAAACGGATTATGATTTCATAAAGTCTAGAAACACACTTACACAAGCCACAAAATAGATTCCGAACTTTTAAAAATTATTCTCAAGTGCGCATACCCCATAGATGGTTTAGTAACTCTCATATAACCTGATATAATATTGTTTTGGAACTTTTTATAGTCACCGTTTATCGTTAACACATGATCGTTCAATACAATCTGAGTGCCTATCCTCGTACAAAATTTTCTAATTGACTTCGCTTGTATTTACATCCTTTTATCAGAGAAACTACGACATGAGGAAAGATTTAAAAACTGTCAAATATCTGACTGTTTACTTTAGGAAATGCACTACCAATCCATGGCCGACTATTAATCGAATATTGAGAGATATGATAGATGAAAGTTTCCAAACTCGCAAATTCGATACTAGTGCGGTAGAATATCGTAATGTAGAAACATAAAGTGTATAAACTTCGGTCTGCATATATAAATAATTACGTGGGGCAGTAGCAATATCTATCCAATAGACAGATTAACACTTTTTCAAACAATATTGCCAATGTACGATATTATAGAGTAGCGATACGTTGCTGTCAATCCGTCTGTTTATTAGACAGAATTCCAGTCTTTGAAGATACGCCATCTCTTATGCGCAATGCACCACGCTGAGATTAAAGCAATTCGCCGCAGTTTTTCGGTATTTGTCTTATGTATAAAGTTGTTATCGGCAGACTAATATTTATACTATTTATCGACAGCTGGGCGTATATTCGACCATAAATTGTATAGAACATTTGCTGAAAATGTCAATAGGTAACATAAAATATTCAATTCCACTTTCTAATGACTCACTTTTCGTTTTTTGCATATTAATAATTTGTTTCGTAATTGAATGATGGCTAAGAACACGTAGCTATACCGAAACCTTACTGGTATTGTTTTGTATGCTATACTAAAACTATTTGATAAAGGATAGAATCGTAGTTTTTGTAAATTTTTAACAACGTATTTAAAATAATGCATCATTCATTCTTGTATCATACTTACCAATTTATATAGCATTTTATATCTTATGAGACATTAGCGAGGTAAACAGGTTATCTTTTTTAAACAATAAAATTTCCATTAATTTTGCATTGTAAATGCATAAAGAATGGCAGAGAGCGATCGTAAATCAGTCTGCGTCAACGCGATACTCTCTTTCAATTAGATTTCATACGAATCGTCGACCTCATCCGAGCTATCTGTACCGCCATGCATATTAGCTCAATATTGGGATGTGATGAACAAATTTGATTTCATTTGAAGGTAAATAGAATTGATTTTGTTATCTATCGCTTAGCACAGGTCATGGATACGAGTGCACTATAATTTGAAGTTTACGCCTTTTTAAATATCGATGTTTGACTGTGCTGAATCGGGCATTCGTTTGACCTCCAACGGCTTTGATGGCAGACGTAGTCATCACGTGATTCATGCAGGTGACTAAACTACGTCTTATTTACCAACGTCTATCGACTTATTGCGTTTCATGAAATTCATCGCGTCTTCAAAACCACACCTGAAAAGATTTCTCGTTTCCTAACGACAGTTGCGGTAATTTATTTTATTTCATGTTTGATTTAATTCCTGGTACATGCTGATTAAGTAAGAACGACGATAAAAACAAAGAGTTGGAATCAGGATGCTCTTTCGTCACGCATTAGTAAATTGTAATGTTCTATTTCTGGTTATTCTACTGATTTCAAACGAACAGGATACAAGACTTTATTGGCTTTGGATATTTTTGCCCTTTGTTTAATGAAAGTTTTATATTTCAGCATTTAGAAAAAACACCATGACCTAATTTATTTCAAGACTGATCTATTCCCTGCTAATCGTTAATAAACTTTTGTGTAATATAGTCCCCACTTTTTTACAAAACGTTTCTAAACTCTAGCGTACAATCATATAATTCATGTTTATGGAATTACATAGTTGAAGGAGGCTGTGTTTCGTGTAACATTATTTGAAGCGTTTCATGCGTAATACAACTAATAAAATTCTGATGTTATTTTTGAATAGTAATATCAGGTTTATATGATAGACTTCATGTCGATAATTGTATCATGAACTATTTCATGGACTTATATAGTTCACATGTAAATTGAATAGGAGAATCGCATTTCATTTTACTTCGTACATTCAAAATGTAAAATAATCCATATTATTTATTTTTTGATTAAAGGGACTTTCTATGGAAGATAGAAACAAATATTATCATAATTTCGTTATACGTTTTGAATTTGCGTCCACCTATTGTCAATATGCCATCGGCGGGTTTGTCATCCACGACATTTTTAATCTTTGTACATGACTTGTATTCTATAACACTAAGTTTGTGTGGTTGAAACAAAATAGGCAAATAGTGCATGAGACGTATTGTGCCCACAGTCTCTCTTATATAAACATTTTGAAACGCTTGGCGTCTGCTTTCCGGCACTGGGAACGCAAATTCTAGCGCCATATGCTGTTTGTGCTAATATAATGCATTCGTTGTAATAAAATAAACATTGCAAAAATTCCATATGTTATCGGAGTATCAGAATCGACTAAACCGCCGGCCATGTCAATATATATGAAGTTTTATGCGAATTACTTATCCTCATTCAATAGTCAATATTTACATGCATTGATGCAAGTTGGTTGTTTTTAATATCTCCTCGATATTTGCTATTACATTTCCGAAACGGACATGTCCGAGAAAACGGTCGCGGGTGTGGCTAAGTGATTAACGCTGAAACAATTTTTCTTTTTCGTTTTAATTTCATTTTTGACAGTTTCACGAATCCTGAACATTATTAAGTAATACGTAATAAAATAACCACGTATCGATACCGTAAGTGGTTCCTATTAAAAAAATCTCTTGAGTGATGGATGGCATCGGATAATGTAAATTGAACATTTAGTTTCCTATATTTCGATTAGGTAATCTTTCTCTATCGAAAATTTCCCCCAAATTTACAGACCGAGGAAAGTCCTTTAACACTGTTGATAAAAAATACTGCAACGCATACCAGATGTCACATCCGTGCTTTATCGTTATCATCAATTTTATTTGGTGCAATGTGTCATTATATTTCTACGCAAGACAATGCACAGATTTAATAATATAAATTAAATATTTGGGCTTGGTTGACACAACAGAATCATTAATAAGAGTAGCGTTTGTATCTTGCATGGTCTATTTTGACGTTATTAAACTCTAAGAGTTA